GTGTTAGGTCCACAGTATGGTGGCCAATCCCATACACAAGAAACTTTCCTTGACTTGTACTCCGATGCAATGCCTATTGGAATCAACTCCCTGGTCTCCAATTCCGCATTCTTGGTTGGCCTTTGTAGGGGAATCACCAGAGTAACCTTCCTTGGCCTTGGGCCCTACTTTGTTTTTATCGCAGCCCTTATCCTCTTCCTAGTGCCAAACATTCTGAAATTTCAGAATAAACTTGACATTAGTAATTTCTAAATGAACCAGAAACGAATACTATGAATCCTAACCTTAAGTTCTAATCCAAAGAAAATGCTACGCGGAAGTCTTAATACGAAACATCCTAGAGACAATAGAACCTGGAGTGCTCTGATACCAACTGTGATACCCCTCAGATCCGAGACACGGGTTGATCAGGCCCAGGCCCAAACCCGAGGGATATCAGACAATTAATATGTAATGACGAACACAGATGACAAAAGGAAATAAGAACGGATATTTAAACCTGAAAGAAACTAAAATAAACTCCTCAAATAATAAAGATTAAATAACCCAACTGTCAAAACCTCCATGGTTACAACTCGGGAATCCATCTCTAGTGGACCCCTAATAAAAATCCAGACTGAAATAAAACATCTGAAAGAAACATCCAATAATAAACTATGGAAAGAATCATACGTCGTCGGAAGAGTGAGTAGTAGTCTCTGCTCAGCACGATCAGGTCTACGTCTGATACGGTCGAGTACCTGAAAAATAGAAGTGGGTCAGGCACATGAACAAGTTGTAACCTTCTACAATCCAAGCAGATGCTCGATACGCATATACATCCTAAGCAGTTCAACATTAGCTAATAGTCCTTACATAAGTATATTCACACTACAGGACTCTCACTGGACTATGGAGGGGGTCTTAACCTGAATAAAAGGCAACATGCGAAAATGCACCCAAAGGTGGGCATGAGCACCTAGACCTAACAGGTATACCTCAACCTCTCATATCCAGCTACGCATCCTATTGCATATACTCTCCCTAACCGACGACTCTGAGACTCAAGCTCAGATCGCAGTACCATAACATATATTTAAAGTCTGTCATATCCATAAAAAGTCCAGTTAGTCATTCAGCTTGTGCAGCTTCTTTGACTTAACATAACTTACGAGTAATCTGAGTAGTCATTCAGCTTATGCAGCTTCTTTGACTCAATTATAAGTAGGATTTATGTTAATATCCATTTCCTTATTCCGTGTAGGTAGGATTTAGTATTTTGAAACTAATCCAAACCTAGGCATGCCACCGTCCCATACCGGTGCATGTAATCCAACATCCACAGTTGACAACACAGGTAATAATTATAATTATCAACTATATAGTCTATCCAGCAATAATCCAACATCCACAGTTGACCATACAAATAATAAATGTAATTATCAACTCTGTAGTATATCCAACAATCAACAGTAAATCACTCAATTGCAAACATCAACTGTTTCACATTATGCATGCTAAAACTTTGTTATTTAACAAGCTTATTTATCACTACTCCACCCAGTTCCATGATTATTAATATAGATCATATATATATAACCTTTAAATAAATCCAAGTAAGCAAGAAAGATTTGCTTTACAAAGTTACAAACTTATCCTGTACTACTCCACCGTTGTTCAGGAGCGAACAACACAATTAATGTAAGTGCACACCTTCCATCCATTACAGGCATATAATTCATTCTATAGTCCTACATGCTTACAGTCCATCACAGAAACATGAACAGAACCTAACTCCATTCCCAAATAAACTGCTACAACTAAGGTTGTGTAGTTTAGATCCTAAGTCTCCAAAACAGTTTACCAGTTTGCTTAGAATTTTTATATTGTTCCAAACAACAATACTGATTGGTTGAATATGCATTACAAGCCCTTTAAAGACCTAAATTAATCTCACTCATCAACCACAAGTCCTATTCACAGCTCCTAAACACCTCTGCCATGTCAAAACTCAGTCTAGAACTCGCAAAATCTCAAAACTGGGAAAACACATGAGGAGAGCAGGCTCCCACAAGGTGGAGCCGCCTCCACCTATACTTGAGCTAGCTCCAAACCATGTAGAGCTGGCTCCATGGTCCTTTGGAGCCGCCTCCACTTCCCCCTTTCCGCTGTCTGCTTGTTTCGTCTCCGTTTGCCTGCACTGCTTTCATCCCTCTCTGTTACAGCTTCTAACACCTTTGTTTGTGTTTAAACCTACCCAGAGAAAACCCATCTACCCTCTTCATACATTGATTAATAGTACTTTATAAGAATAATTACACAGTTGAACACAAAATAAGCAGTTTATATCAAGTTTCGATACATACTGATATGATGAGTTCTAAACATGCATCGTTAATTAATTTCATTTAATGATTTGTTGGAACTACTTAGGCATGCAAAGAACACGAGTAAAAGGGAAAAAGATGTGGTTAGAACTTGCCTTTAGCCTTTCCCCATCTAAACCTTTGTTTATCTCTCTGTTTCCTCCCAGCCGTCTCCAAAACTTCTCACAACCTTACTGTGTCGTAATAGTATTATAAAACCCTAAACAGGCCCCTTAGATGAGTATTTATAGACCACACTAACCCTAGGCTCAATTAAACCCTAATATAATTCACTCGGCCCATAAACCATCCTGTGACATAAGCAACGTCGGCTACCCATATAAAGTTTAAACCTAATGTAACTATTTATATATGCAACACTTAAACAGACAAGTTAATGCAAAACAAATAATGAATTACAATTAAATAAAGTCAAATTAAATAAAGCCAAATAAAAGAATTAACTAATTAACTTAAACAATTAATGAAATTAGGTCAAATAATAATAAATAATTCAAATAAATCAGACAATCACAATTAGGGCAAATACTTCAAGCAAGTTAAGAAATTAACAATTAAAAATTTCAAGTAAATAACTAATGAAATTTCAGGACTATCCTTTGTAAAATTAGGGGTATTACATTATGTCCATGGTCCCGGTAGAACCTACAGTATTTATCTCAAGACTTCTTTGTTGGATCAGCTTTTAGCTTTGGCGGCCATTTCAATGATGCGTCATCTTGAATCTGCAAAAAGACCTGCTCAACAGATATATTTAGGGGGGTGTAGTTATTATACCTACCTGGGCTCACTGGACGGCGAGACGATCTGTCAGCCTAGCTGTTTGAGAATTTCTTGTACTTCGATTACCTTTCCTCCCTAGTGCTAGGTGCTAACCTCTTTTTATCCGACTTCTTTTCTTCACCATCTTTGTTTTTTCGTGCATTCATAGCATCCTCAGCGTTCATGTGCTTCTGTGCTCTAACCATTAACTCTGTCATGCTCGTAGGGGCTTCCTTTGACAAGGAAAATAGGAACTTAGAGGTCTGTAGTCCTCCCATAAAGGTTGTGAGGGTAACCTTGTCATCCACCTCTTCTACCTGCAGTATTTCAGTGTTAAAACGACTTATGTAATCACAGAGAGGCTCTCCCTTCTGCTGCTTTACATTCAGTAAATGTGTTGCTGGTCTCCTATGCCTCTACCCAGCGATGAAGTATCCTATGAATTGTTTGCTCAACTCTTCATAGTTTTCAATAGAGCCTAGTTTTAATTTATTGAACCAGAGACGAGCCCAACCCTTTAGTGTGGTAGGGAAAGCCCTGCACATAATCTCGTCTGGTACGGCTTATAAATACATAAGAGCTTTGTAGGTCTCCAAATGGTCGAGAGGGTCCCGCGTCTCATCGAAGCTCTCAAGGGTTGGCATCTTAAATTTGCTAGGTAGAGGACAACTAATAACAGCTGGGCTAAAAGCTAGGTTGGTTTTATGTACCATATCGTTCACTGCAGCCTGGCCCATCCCTTTCATCGTTTGTATGACGTCGTCAACTCTAGCTTTCAGATCCTGAATCTCTAGATCGAAATGAGTGGCATCCTCAGTTTTATCACCAACATAACTAGAAGTATCTCCACGGAGCCTAGTGGTATTCCGTTCAAGGGACCGATGGTGATGGCTCCTCTGTTGACCCCCTATTTGACTAAGCTCAACATCGTTGTTAACCCTATGGGAGTCATTGTTGGGTACTTCACTGTTTCTCTCCTCGTTGGGGGCGGCTAAGCGTTGCAGAATCATCGCATTTTGTTGGATTAAGGTTTGAACCTGTTGTTCCAACGCTGCGACCCGTTCTTGATCGTTTGGGATAACAAGGGGTTGCCCCATCGAGTCCCCTTCATCAGAAGCCTGCAACGTTTCGTCCTCACCAGCAGCCAGACCAGATCGCAATCGAACCATGCTTTATTTAAAGAACAAAAATATGTTCCCACAGACGGCGCCAACTGTTGATAATGGATTCTGCACAACCCGGATCTGATCTGACTTCCTGAATAAAGAGAAGAAAAAATGATCCTACAAATACCGGTGTGTTACCGGTGGAGTAGGCTCCGACGAACAAGTCAGTGTGAGAAGTAATCTCTCTGGATAAATTAATAAATTGAATTAGGATTTATTGTGTACCTCTAAACGTCGATTAGCCCCCTCTATTTATAGGGCTTAGGTCAGGATGTTACATAGAGTTCCCGTCATCTTAATCCTTATCGTAATCTGTAAGCCTAATCCCTATCATATGTTGTAATCCTTATCGTAATCTGTAGGCCTAATCCTTATCGTATTTTGTAACCCTTATTCATAATCTGTAATCCTTATCTTAGCCTGTAATCCTTATCTTAGTCTGTAGAGCCTATCTCAATCTTATGAGATAGCGCGTTACTTTAACGATCTTCCCCTATCCACGGGTATTTAAATTATACATCCATCAATACTTAACCACATATTTAGCTTTAGCCATCATATTTAGTAAGTTCAAGGTGGATCAACCACATTATTTCAACAGTTGCACAGAGGTATTAGATTTTCTATTCAGCAATTAAAGGCAAAAATCAGAATGGAAAAGAGAGTGAAAATTCACATCCTCTCAACTGGTAGATCGAGATGACAATAATTTTCTGGATTTGAGACTGAACAACCCTTAGCCTAAGGAGATTTAGCTTAAGAGTTTCAGGCAGAGTTTCAACAGTCACTCCTTTAACCTCACTTACAATCTTTAACAAACCAAGCCTCAGCACCAAATCAATCCTTTCTCCCTTGCATTCTGGTTGTTCAGAACCTGAGCACAATGAAAAAGCACCAACACATATATAGGAGTTGAGAAAAGAAGATAAAGAGAAAAAAGAAATGAAGAAAGAAGAAGAAGAAGAAAAGAAAATAGTAAGTGACGACTAAAACCTGTAGCAGTAGTGGCTGGAATATCTATTTTTGATACTGTTCGAATGCTACCTCCAGTACGAAGTGTGGGTGGGAGAAGCCCCTGAAGGTATCTCCCATCACTGGTTGTCAAAGCTAATAGAGAATCTGTATGTTCATCCCACTCCTGCTCAGAATTAACCAGCACAGAAGAAAACCATCTCATTGTCAATGATAGAGAGGTGGGGGCGTCCATAGGAGATCCATATTGCTTGGCAAAAGCTTTCTTCAGGTAGTCCAAACCAGTAGGCCCCTTTATGAGTGGTTCCAAAATCCTTATGCGTGCTTTGCTAATCTCATGCTTAAGAGTCTGCAGTAATTTTACAAATAGTATATTAATTTTTTTTGATAAGTACAAATAGTATATTAAATTATAAAGAGAGAATATGAATATGCTTTTCAGATATATATGAGCTAAACAATGTGAAGTTTGTACTATAGCTAATCAATTAAGTTTTCTAATTCTTGTGTATAGTGTTGGGAGTCAAATAAACAAACCTACATGAATATTTATATGTTTAGGTGTACGAAAGAACGATATTTTGCAGTTAGGGAACTTCTATCAAATCATACAAGTTAATGGACTCTAAAGATACTTCTTCAACTTCTGCCTCACTCCTTTATTTAATCCTGGGATCCCCAAATTTCAACGTAGATAGAACCTACAAAACTGCAAAATTCCCATTATGAGGCACTCTAGACTCCCAGTAAAGGATTGTCTTACTGTGATCCTTCATGAGGCCATCCAAATTCCCTTTCTTGATCAACCCCCATAAAAAAGTTCAGCAAGACAAGCACTTAAAGTTGTTCCACTACTAACAATATGCTACGGTCCAACTGATATAGGCACAGTGCACAACCCTATCCAGATCAGCTTGACCCCTACTCCTACACTATATTCCTCAACAATGACATGTATATAATGTTTTCATACACTACTATACGTCTCATCATCTTTGCCTTACTCCCATATGAATGGGGCTGGCCACATTTATTCCCCTACCCTCTGTCCAAATTATCCTTCCTCTTCTCGCTGGTGCATCTATAGGTCTTCTATGTATATATCCATACCACTTAACTCTACTCTCTCTAGTGTTGTCGCTAATAGGTGGAACACCTAGTTTCTCCCTCACATTTTGGTTTGAAACTCTATCTTTACTCCAATCATCCATCTTAACATGCTCATTTCCGCTACATGAATTTGTTGTTCTTGCTTCTTTTTTTAGCGCCCAACACTCTGCGCCATATAATAGTTGGCGCCTAACAATTGTTCTATAAAATTTTCCTCTCAGTTTATAAGGTATTCGTTTGTCACACAAAACACCAGAGCTTAAGCCAAAGAGCAGCAAAATTTTGAAGTAATGCCAACTAGTAGGTCTGTACCAAGTCCCCCAGCCCCGAAGGGGCCTACTTGGGATGTCAAGCATTCAAAATTCCATAACAATTTTAATCATTTTACCAAGTTCAAAGTTGGCCAGATTAGTCAATATTTATATGCTTCGATGCAACAAGAAGATGTTATTTATAACAAGTAGTTTTGTTGATTGGTTAATTGGTCACATTTTATTCATGAAATGGGTTGGATTGGTATTATTCTAGAATAAATAAACAAAGATGAAGACACCAAAAGCTGCTAACACACCTGTATCTGCTGCAGAACAAAACGCAGACCTTTCATCATTAAGAGGGCAAATGAAGCATTTGAATTATCTCCAGCTTGAGTAATTTCTCCTAGTTCTTGTAATAACATATGATGAGTTTTTTGCATCTCATCCTCATTAGCAGAAGCAGTGAGTTTCTCTAAAGTGAGTAATGCAAACTCCAGGATCTTCCCAAGATAACCCACGTCTAAAACTCCTGATTTCAGCACCAAAGAGAAAAAGGAGAAAGAAAGAATGAAATTAATTTACATGTAAAAATATAATATAAATGACATGCATAGGCTGCAAAATAATGACAAGGATAGGTTCCCTACATGCATGGGAAAGAGTATCAGTATCAATAGTTTCAACAATCTCTGGTCTCCAACACAAAGGAGACATCTCACACAGTTCATTCCAGACTTCCTTCACAAGTTTAAGCACCCAGCTGTAGTCAGCCTCCTTCTGTTTCATGGATTCTATTATACCATCCCAGAAAGCCTTTTCCATTGTCTCTCTCACTTTTGCCTGCATGAAGATAAAGAAAAAGCAAGCAATTATGATGATTTCCATCTCTATATGTTCCACACATTAGCAAACCCTTACAGATTAACTATATATACACACACATTTACACACACATTTGCACATACATATATAACTGTGCATACACACATAAATATACAAAGAGAGAGGAGAACAAGTAAACCCATGCAATAACCTTAAGACTTTGCTGATCTTCACTGCCAATGTCCAAGCTATCAGCAAAACCATGGCGGTACTCATGGAGAATTGCATTTACAAGCATTTCATTCTCCATAATCAAAATTGTACCGGAGCTCGAGTGACCCACTTCACTGCTACTAGAAGTAGACGTATCAACTTCATTGAATGGGGAAGAATAAACTTCCTCAAACGAGGAGTGAACTATGCTGCTTGAATTCTTTAAGTCTTCAGTAGGATTATCTATTTCATCAGGGACATTAACTGCAGGCCTATCTGATGAATCAGGTGAACTTGAAGGTGATCTGTGTACAGCTAGGGATGCTAATGAACTCCCATTGTCGTTGGCTTCAAAAAATATAGACTGCATATCAGACAAAGCACATTCCATGCGTTCAAGCCCTTCATTACCATTTAGTTGCTCTCTGAAATTTTGGATTTGGACAGAAAGGAGGGTGATGTGGGGATCTCAGGGATAGAGAAAAATTGAAGAGAGTTATGCAAGGCTGAGTTTGAAGAGATGGTTGTTATGGACGAAATATCGTGGAGACAAAAGTCTAGAGCCCTGTGGCTCAAGGAAGGGGATTGGAACACAATTTTTTTAACGCGTAGCTAACGCTCATAGAAGAGGGAATAGTATCGGCAGGATCATTTTTAATGGAGTTATGGCTGAATCTGAAGAGGAAATTAGGAATGGATTTGTGACATATTTTCAGGATCACTTCACAGAATTAGTTAATTGGAGACCACAATTGTATGGTATTGAATTTGAAAAAATTCAGAAGAGGATAGGTTGGGCTTGGAGAGGCCTTTTGGGGAGGAGAAAGTTCAAGCTTTAAAGAGTTGTGATGTAGATAAGTCTCCGGGACCGGATGGCTTCACAATAGCATTTTTCCAAAAGAATTGGGAGGTGGTGAGAGCGGACGTGATGAGAGTCCTGGCTGCGTTCTTTGAGGAGGCTTGTTTTGAGAAGAGTTTGAATGTATCTTTTATCACCCTTATTCCCAAAAAGGGTAGAGCGATTGATGCCAAGGATTTTAGACCAGTGAGTTTGGTAGGTTCTGTGTATAAAATCATTGCAAAGATCTTGGCTTTGAGGCTAAGGAAAGTGATGGACGGGGTTATTTCAGAGTCCCAAAATGCATTTGTGGGAGGAAGACAAATTCTTGATCCGATTCTTATTGCTAGTGAATATATTGATGCTAGAGTTAAGAGTGGGGTACCCGGATTAGTGTGCAAGTTAGATATTGAGAAAGCATATGACCATGTTAATTAGGGGGTTTTTGATGTATTTATTAGAAATGATTGGGTTTGGTACCAAATAGAGAAGGTGGATTCAGTTTTGTATCTCGACAGCTCAGTTCTGTATATTAGTGAACAGGTCTCCTGCAGGTTTTTTTGCAAGTTTGAGAGGTTTAAGGCAGGGGGACCCTCTATCTCCCTTTCTTTTTATTATTGTCATGGAAGCTTTCAGCAGAATTATGCGAAGGGCAGAATTATTGGGATTCATTAATGGTTTTTTGGTGGGGCAAACGCCAAATCAGATTGTTACTTCCCACTTGTTATTTGTAGACGACACCATTGTTTTTTGTGATGCGAGTGTGGAGCAGTTGAGGCACTTGAGGTGTGTTTTGGCCTGCATCCAAGTGGTCTTCGAGTTGAAAATTAACATCGCCAAGAGTGTGATTGTTGCAGTGGAGGTGGTAGATAAAATTCTGGAGCTGGCAAAAATGTTGGGCTGTGGTATTGAGTCTTTCCTGCTGTTGTATTTGGGGATGCCCTTGGGTTCTTCGATGAGTAGAGTGGCAGTTTGGGATCTAGTGGTGGACCGTTTCCAAAAGAGACTATCCCGGTGGAAAAAGCAGTATTTGTCGAAAGGGGGAAAACTCTCGTTGCTGAAAAGTACTTTCTCTAACCTTCCGACGTATTTTATGTCCTTATTTCCGATTCCTAAAACAGTAGTCAGCAAACTTAATAAGTTTCAAAGAAAATTTCTATGGGGGGGTATTGGGGGGGAGTTCAAATTCCATCTAGTAAAGTGGGAGACTTTATGCATGCCCATTAAAAAAGGTGGTCTGGGTATTCGTAGTTTGGAGATGTTTAATAGAGCCTTGCTGGGGAAATGGTTTTGGAGATTTGGGCGTGAGAGGGCCGTTCTTTGGAGACGGATTATTGCTTGTTGCTTTGGAGAAGAGGAGGGAGGTTGGAATTCTAGAAATAGGTCTGTATCAGAAGGTATAGGAGTGTGGAAAAGCATTAGGAGGGGCTGAGATGAGTTTTCAAAGAGGATAAGGTTTAGAGTTAGGGATGGGCGGAATGTGAGGTTTTGGAAGGATTTTTGGTGTGGGGATGTGGTGCTGGCTTGTAGATTTTCGTATCTCTTTAGGATTGTTGAGAATAAAAATGCAATGATTGCTGATTATTTCTATTTTATGAATGGGAGTATGCTGGGACTTGAGATTTCGTAAAAGATTTAATGATTGGGAGTTGGGGGAAGTTACAGAGTTATTGGGTTTAATTTACAGCCAAGAGGTGGAGGGGGTAGGAGGGATGAGATGGTGTGGATGGGAGGTTCTATAGGGGTGTTTGAGGTGAGGTCATTTTACTAAAGCCTTATGAATGATATTTGTAACGATTTCCCTTGGAAGGCTATTTGAAGGACTTCAGCACCATTGAAGGTGGATTTTTTTCACATGGACAGTGGTTCTTGAAAGCATACTGACTTTTGACAATCTTAGGAGAAGATGGCAGATTACTGTTAACTGGTGTTGCATGTGTTAAAAGGAAGGTGAATCGGTTAATCATCTCCTGATGCATTGTCAAGTGGCAGCGGATGCTTGGAGCATGGTTATGAAGGTCTTCGGGGTTCATTGGGTTGTTTCAAGAACAACAAAAGGTATACTAGAAGCATGGTGAGGGAGAGTTGTTGGTAACCGTATTAGAAAAGCTTGGAGGGTAGCTCCTCTTTGTACTTGGTGGGGGTTGTGGCTCGAGTGCAATAGAAGATGTTTTCAAGGCAAAGAGGCACCGGCTTGGGCTATTAAATCATCTATTCTCCATTCTCTTTATTTTTGGGTCCTTGGGATTAATTGTTCCTCGGTGGACAGTTTGTTAGACTTTGTCGACAACTTATCGTTGTATTGATGCCTGTGGTGCCTTTGTTTTTTCGTTTTTTCTTTGTTAAGGGTTGCTCTCCCTTAGAGCTTTTTTGATATATATATATGCTTTACTTATCAAAAAAAAAAAATTATTCACTTTAATTCTAGTGCATCCAATAAATAGGAGGAAATTGGCTATGAAAGCAATTAGAATGAATGAAACTCGGTCCTTTGATTTTGTTTTCGCACTAGAACAGTATGTTCTGGCTTTTTCTAGTCGGTCTCCCTCACCTAAGTCACATGGTTGGTCAAAGTGGAAAGGAAAATGTAGAAAATGAGGTCCTCCCTTGCCTAAGTCGCATGGTTGGTCAAAGTGGACCCCACTTTGACCCAAAATATCTTTAAAATTCCATTTTTTGCAAAATAACTCCAAAACATGATATAATTGTACACATAAGCACCCAATCACATAAAAATGTATCAAATATAAATAATGGAGTGCAATGAACCCAAAAGTAGCCCCGAGCTCGAGAAATCCTGGCGTGGGGCCTACACAGGATCTCCTGGCCCAAAATCCCGAAAAAGGCTAAAATCACCCGAAATACATTTCTAAGAGTCCTAAACTCAAATAAATGTCCCCAACCACTCTCGGAGCCTTCGTAGCACACTAACCGATGCGTGACACGCAAAACGAGATGTAAAAATAAAAAAATCCTGAAAAATAAAAAAATTGAAAAAATGAAAAACATTACAAGTTGATACAAAACGAGATAACTGCCAAGTTATGGAACACTTGGCAGTACAAGGATGGGCTAGATGGAAGGTTTAACCACTGCTAGAATTACCACATTCAATTATTGTAAAAAAAACTATATAAAAAAATCACTCAGGCACAATAAACAGATCCTGCTCAATGCATACAACAAATCAATACAATACTTTGCTATTTCATGTATCCTTACATTCCAGTAATGTATTTCAACTATGTTTAATACAAGTTCATCACTTTCTTTTCTTACTTTCCAGTAAGTATTACAAGTCGTGCTGTAATGTTTCCGATTTTTCCTATTTTCCATTTTCTATGATTTTTTTATTTTCTAGATTATTTTAATCATTGTCTCGTTTTACGTGTTGGACACCTTGGGATGTGCCGAGTGTGTTATGAGGGTTGGTTGGGGCATTTCCTTAAATTCAGGTCTCTTAGAAATGCATTGGTTTCCATTTCGACATTTTTTCATTTTTTAGGCCAGGAGGTCCCAGGTGGGACCCGTTACCAGAGTTGTTAAGCATGGGGACTATATTTCGGGTTTGTTGCATTTCATACATTATTAGTTGATGTACAATTACGTAGATATATGTTTATATGTGGTTTCAAGGTGTTTTATTGTGTGTGTGTGTGTGTGTGTGTGTGTGTGTGTGTGTGTGTGTATAAATATATGTTAATGAAATTTTTATATAGCTGGCGACCCACCATTACTTTAAGTCATTACAAATGACTTTAGGATCATCAACTAATCCTTATTCTCTCTCTCTCCACGCCAGTTCTCTCACTTTCTCAGTTTTCTTTTTCTTTTTCTCCCCAAATTCAAGTTTAGATCTAGGTTTTTCCATTGGGATTTTTGCTTTGCCACTGAAGGCAAAGTCGACGAGCACGACGAGGGCTTCGCATTGTTTGAAGCCAAGTTGTATTTGGGCCATCTTCTGATTTTGAATTTTGGGGGTTTTATTGGATTTGCTCTTCTAATTGAGGTAGGGGTGTTCTAATACTCACTTCTTTGAGCTTTGTGAATTATTCTCTCAAAATTGTTACGTAGCATGCTCTAATTGTGTTGAGATTCTTTTGGCTTTATGTTGTATACACATATTTTTCTATGTTTTGCTTACAAAGTAAATTTCTATATGTTGGTTGTCCAAATATGAGGAAGCATGCTAAATCAAATTTATTGCTTGTCTTGTATGTTTAAAATTCTGAAATTTTATTATGTCAAGACATGATACATTTTCTTGTGAGTTTTTCTTAAAAGCATGTTATATTTTTGTGGTTGAATGCGAATTATGGAAATTTATATGTTTAGTATGGCATGAAGCATTCATGCAATACCATTGGGAAAGAAAGGGAAAATTTATGTTAAAAAGAAATGAAAATTTATTTTTTGGGAAAATATTTTAAAAAGTGGTTTACGAAAACTCGGGCGCCTAGGAGCTGCCTAGTCGTCTGTAGCATTAATGTGATTTAAAGGGAACTAGAGAGAGAACGTAGCGTGGTTGAGCTACCTAGGCCCGAAACGACACC